CAAATGAGGTTAGATAGATAGTCGTTCAGCGAAGGTGTTGTCGTAGCAGTAGCAAGAAGTACTGCGCGCGGGGGTGTCAACGAGTTAATACTGGCCAACGATAACAGCGGTGACCCTGGAACACTGTTGTCACACGGTTGCAATAGATGATAGGTTATCTCTTAATCTTCGTAAACAACGATTTTTCTAAAGTGGTAAAAACAGGTCGAAATTTTAAATACCTATGAATCACCGCAAATTATTTTGTCAGTTATCTGCTGCGAACAAAACATGCTCAGCTCAGACTTATCTAAAAAGTGGTGGGAAAATCGATATTATAAAAATATTTATGAATCACCGCAAATTCTCTTAGACGTGCTCTTATCAGTTCAGACTCAGTTAAAAGTGGTGGGTAAAATCGAGATTATAAATACCTATGAGTCACCGCAAATTACCTTGTCAGTTATCTGCAGCGAACAGACGTGCTCAGTTCAGACTTAGCAATTCCCAACGCTCCTCCGTGGCCATTCCCCTTACCCTCTCGCGAGTGCGCGCATGCGCATGCGGCTCGTTCTGGTCTATAGACATAGGATCGCTAATGATCTTGAAGAAAGATGTCCTGATACCCGAACAGCCAGAGGTACATCAGAAGTAATGTTAGTATTGTGTGTGCGTGTTTTTTGAACACGCTAATTCGTGATGTACATCACGTGACGTACGTCACGTGACCTACGTGACGTACGTGTGACAGGTGACGTGCGTCACGTGACACGTGATGCACGTGGCACGTGACGTGCGTCACGTGACACTTGACGCACGTGGCGTACGTCACGTGACACGTGACGTGCACACTTTGTTCAAAAATACCAAAAAGATGTCTTGATAGCCCGAACCGCCAGAGGTACAACATCAGAAGTAATGTTAGTGCGTGGTTGAGGTTCAAAACTTTGCGTGTTCAAAAAAAACGTACCTAGACCAAAAGTCATTCTAGACCAGTCACTCTAGACCAAAGTACAAAAAAAAAACGCCGTTTTTCAACGCCTTTTTTGTCACCATCCCCCTTAGTAGCGCGCATGCGCATGGGGCTCGTTCTGCAGGTGCTGGTGCTGGCGCGGGCGTACTACGGGGGGTGTAGATAGCGTTTGTGGTAAGGGTTGGGGGTAGGTCTTGTTCTCTTACCACTATCCCAAGGTACACAACAAACAAACTTACTCGTGCGCGCATTTACCTACCCCCAACCCTTACCACAAACGCTATCTACACCCCCCGTAGTACGCCCGCGCCAGCACCAGCACCTGCAGAACGAGCCCCATGCGCATGCGCGCTACTAAGGGGGATGGTGACAAAAAAGGCGTTGAAAAACGGCGTTTTTTTTTTGTACTTTGGTCTAGAGTGACTGGTCTAGAATGACTTTTGGTCTAGGTACGTTTTTTTTGAACACGCAAAGTTTTGAACCTCAACCACGCACTAACATTACTTCTGATGTTGTACCTCTGGCGGTTCGGGCTATCAAGACATCTTTTTGGTATTTTTGAACAAAGTGTGCACGTCACGTGTCACGTGACGTACGCCACGTGCGTCAAGTGTCACGTGACGCACGTCACGTGCCACGTGCATCACGTGTCACGTGACGCACGTCACCTGTCACACGTACGTCACGTAGGTCACGTGACGTACGTCACGTGATGTACATCACGAATTAGCGTGTTCAAAAAACACGCACACACAATACTAACATTACTTCTGATGTACCTCTGGCTGTTCGGGTATCAGGACATCTTTCTTCAAGATCATTAGCGATCCTATGTCTATAGACCAGAACGAGCCGCATGCGCATGCGCGCACTCGCGAGAGGGTAAGGGGAATGGCCACGGAGGAGCGTTGGGAATTGCTAAGTCTGAACTGAGCACGTCTGTTCGCTGCAGATAACTGACAAGGTAATTTGCGGTGACTCATAGGTATTTATAATCTCGATTTTACCCACCACTTTTAACTGAGTCTGAACTGATAAGAGCACGTCTAAGAGAATTTGCGGTGATTCATAAATATTTTTATAATATCGATTTTCCCACCACTTTTTAGATAAGTCTGAGCTGAGCATGTTTTGTTCGCAGCAGATAACTGACAAAATAATTTGCGGTGATTCATAGGTATTTAAAATTTCGACCTGTTTTTACCACTTTAGAAAAATCGTTGTTTACGAAGATTAAGAGATAACCTATCATCTATTGCAACCGTGTGACAACAGTGTTCCAGGGTCACCGCTGTTATCGTTGGCCAGTATTAACTCGTTGACACCCCCGCGCGCAGTACTTCTTGCTACTGCTACGACAACACCTTCGCTGAACGACTATCTATCTAACCTCATTTGCGACATAGGTGATTACCAACGCACCCGACTCCGCCGTCCACCATTCAACTATACCATCAACACCGTTCAAATTTCCCGCCGTCTGATCCACCAATCAGAGCACCCCGGTCCCAAAAACTTCTGTCTGACCGACCTGTATGGCGGAGCGACCGATGGGTAGCACCATTTTAGGACACGTCTTGGTATATACGACAAGGTGCCGTGTCTCCCACGAGCAGTTCCACACACACCTCCCATGTGAATGGAGCTTATTTCGATCTGACGATATACCGTCGGTTCATCGACCCGTCGGTACATCGGCCCGTCGGTAGGGCCCCCAAAAATTTCTATCGACCCCTGTATGTGGGTCACTCTACGACACCAGTGCGACATCGACACCATCTAGCGCTTAGAGACACAACTCACACTTATCAATGATACACATAACGTTTGACAGATGACGTTTGTATGTAGCGCCATCTAAAGGCGAGAACCCAGACTATCAGGTAATCGATAACCTGTCGGGTATTTCATTCTAGGGTACTGCAAGATGGCATATCTCAGCTATTTTACGAAAATTGAAGTTAAAATTTTAATCACTTTCTATTTATCATTAGACCTAAAACATGTAAATGTATGCTAAAATTATAGCATTCCGGTCGGTGCTGCCTTAGAAATACTATGAATTTTTCTTCCAAGAATCGCCCTCAAATTCTATCTGTTTTTATTATTGTCTTGCGTAAGACTTGCTATACATACCTAAATTGGGTTACAGAAACATTTCTGCTTCATCCCACATTCCCAGTTTATCGTAGTATTTAACTATTTTAAAAAAAGTAAATGTCATAGATATTAATACTAATATAAACGTCACACTTTTCAACAGTTCATCTTCAAACGAGGAAATTTGTGGTTTAGTATTCACGAAGGAAAGATCAACTGCCAAAAATATTGCACCATGTACTGAAAGATTTGAGTGAACATGTACCAGAGTTCAGACATATAAAGCCGGATTTCGTGGTGGGATATAACGGAAACTCTTTTAATAGCACCGTAGAATCACTTCCGATTAATAAGAAGAACAGATAAGTACTTGATCGTTTTTAGAAACAAGGAGATTAACATTTTAGTGGCGCCAAATGTAAGAGAAGAAGGTGTAGATATACCAACTTGTACTATGGCTGTCAGGTAATTTTATTCACTAGTTTCTCATTGATTCGCTTGAATAAATCAAGATATGCTAGAGGAAAGCTCGTCACCGATAAATTGCATATAATCACTAGCTCAAGTGTTCTAGCAAGATCTTTGCAAATCAATTAAAATTAAGTTTGAGTCGCTGTCCGTAGGCTCTAGCCTAGGGTACGAACGCAGCATCGGTTTCGACCGAATTTGGCCAAAAATGCCCCTTCGACGTCGCATTTGGTCGTCGGCTCATGAACCCTACGGGCAAAGGTTTGGAAAAAATCTGGTCGCGTACCAAGCGGATATAAACATGGTCAGCGTATGAAAAATACTTTTTCCTCAACAAATAAACAATTACATGGCTTCTACAATATCTGATTGTTACTTTCTACCATATTCTATCCGTAATTTCAACAAGAATATTAAGTGACTCTACTTTGTTGCATTTTGTTTTCTTTTGCTAGCGCCATAGTCTAACCTTTTACATGCACAAAAATAGAGGACCCACCGGTAAATTGTCCAAACGGCTGACCAAAGAACTGAGGAGATTATAAGTAACTATTCTAAATTAAGTGTATTTCGGTGTTTACCCTGTATCCCCTGCCATTTATAATATATTATTTTGATTTTTTAATTGTATAATTTTAAAAATATCTGCATTTTAATAGTACATATGTTTTATTATCAACTTTGTAGATTAATGTATGGTCTTACCGTGAAGCTGCTTTTGCAGTAACCATTATTTCCGTTATAACGGTGGAAAGCAAATATGTGTTTTCATATCCCAACGAATGTCAAAGGAAACAGTATTTTCGAATACCAGCGCTGATAGATGTTATGCCTTTTCAGTATGTGTTTTTTTCTGTAGCCTTCGGTTGTCCCTGGTGCTGTTTCGAAGTTCTACGAGGTTATCGTGCTTCTCAATTTTTTCGGTGCTCATAAAAAATAGTATAGCTATTATCGAAAATAGAGTTTTTATTTCTACTTTTCGTAATAACCATTTTATTCTTTACGTAGTGATACGAAGTTCTACATGGTTATCATGCTTCTCAATTTTTCGTGCCCGGGCAGTACAGTGTTGGTACCCGTGCAGTGCAGTGCCAAACACGTAAAGTAGTAAAGTGATTATTATTGCAAAAATAGGAATTCAAAACTCTATTTTATTAGTAATAATCGATTACTTTTACGTAGTTCCCTCTCTACACTGCTTATGAATCTGCTGTATTTTTTATTTTTCAAGGTATGTTTTTTTGTGATTATACAAAGTTCTACATGGTTATACTGCTTCTCAATTTTTTTTGGTGTATATTACTGCAGGCGTTTAATAATAAGAATGCATACTTTTAAATATTTTTATATGGAGTAAAAAGGCTGAACAATTTTGGGTGCAAAAATATTTTTCAATTAGGCGGGAAATAAAAAACAAAAAATCATTTGCATACATTTTATTTTACATGTTTATTAAAAAATATTTACATACATTAACAAATCAATATTTTATTTTCTTAAATCCAAATGGTACAGAGGTATGATCTGCATAGAATTTCCTTTTCATTGAAGTTATCTTGTATACCTTAGGAAACTCGACTGTTACTACTGCATGCTCTCTTGTACGTCGTAGCTGTCGAGAAAGTACAGAAACAGGAACAGATTTCTTCAGCACCATGTCTTTTATTTTCTCAAAATTGACCACTTGGGATGCCTTGTAGTTGAGTGATATGCCTTTTACTTTACATACGATCTGTTCCTCTCCAGACAAAGTAGTATATTTGTAGGCGTAGTTCTTAGGTCCTCCAGAAACAAACTCTGATATGAAACCCCCATTGAGCTCATCGGTCATATCACCTATGAAGTCGCCTGTAGATATGTCGTCTAATCCCTTACGAGAGATATAAATACATGAATCTGTATCTACGTAAACTGCCCTTTCTTCCACTTTCTCCAAGAATGAATATAATTTTAGTCTAGCTAGGGCCGTGACGTATGAAGCCAATACAACGTTAACCGTTGAAGAAACGTCATACACCTCTTCTCTAAATTCCCAAGTTACGAGAAGGGTTTCTTCGTTTACCGGGAGAACTGTATTTACATGAATAGAAGGATTAGTCAGCATATCAAAGAATTCACCACAGTCTCTGACTATCGAGGTTTTGTTTTGGTTTTCTTTTTGAGCAAATTTACCCCAAAAAGAATTCAGCATAAGTTTAGCTAACGATCTCAAACAGGGGTTCTCTATAATTTTTGAAAATTCCAGCTTTATGTCCTCTGTATCCAAAAATGCATCAATATAACGGTTTTTTTCTTCATCCGTTAAGCAATGTTTGGGCCATCCTGAAGCTTGTTGTTTTATTTGTAGAAACTTGTTCATCATTCCGCTAAATAACCCCTCTTGGTCTTTACTGAGCTGAATTGTATCGTATTCCCATATTTCGTAAGTCTCTATAATTTGGTAACCTTTTTCAATAGCTTTGAGCACCTCTTCTATCACCCAAGTTCCTTTTAGGCTTCTTTCTTGAATAGAATGCTGACACTCTTCTCGAACGAAATCTTCACCACATTTTTGACAGTTAACAAACATCAATTTGTTGTTCATTTTTGACGGTAAAACGGGGTGATATAAGTTCTGGTTCGGTAGAATCTGGCATTTAATAAGTCCTGACATCTGCGACAGAGAGGCTGTAACACATTCTTCACCTACGTAAATTTTTTTTGGATGACCCACCGGAAATTTTCCATATTTACAGATGAAGGGGTACAGGGAACATATATCGACATATTTTATGCATTCATTTGTTTTGATCTTGTAGTATTCAACGATATTTTCTGTACGTCCCCCGTAGAGAGCGTCTCTGGGGTTAATCGGTAAATTGATTATCAATGGATGTGCTTCTGTGAAGGCTCTAATTTCATCGTTTAGCATTCCTCGAAATTGACATTCCCATATCTCAATTACTTCTAGTCCAAGGCTTCGGAGTCTCTCTACTTTGCTAACTGATTGTTCGTATCGACTTTCCAATGTATTCAACGGATCATTATGCAGAGGATTGCTTCTGTTGTATTTGAAACATCGAGGGCAACCGTGAAAATAGCATCCTTGGAATTCAAACACTTGATTTGTGTCGCTACAAAAACCGTCTACTTTATGTCCCTTAACAATGGTTTCTATACCCTTAGCGGCGTGTTGAATTTTGATTCCTCTTTGATGTTCCTCCCACAACATCCATTGGATGGCAATTTTTGACTGATTTTCACGCCATCTATAGCCCCCTTTTGGAATTACCCCGATCGTCTCAGGTTTTAAAAAATTGCGTCTAAAGACTTTGTTACAGCATGATGCAATAGTGGTGCTTTCCTGGAAGGGATCGACTGTGGTTTCGGTTTTCATCAGGTCTCGAAATTTGAGACACGCCTGTGTCAATATTTCCACATCGGAGATACAGTATTCAACGATTTCTTTCTGAAAATCAAAAACGTATCCCTCCGCTTGTCTTTTGCCATGCCATTTTAATAATTTTTCTCGAGTGTCTTCTTTTAAATGGTCGGGATCGTAGAAGTCGAGCGCTGGAATTGGCCCTAGATAATTCTGATGAGCCAAAGTGTTGAATAGATGTGGAAAGTATCCTTTCTTTAGCTCTTTCAAATCAAACGCCTTGGGTAGAGCAGTTAGAGGCATAGGAAAATAATTGAGAGAATCCAGAAATTTTACATTTCCTACCTCCATCAATATTAATTTTGTTCCTCTCATAATTACATTTGGGTACAGACTAGTCTTCTCTAAAATGTAACGAAGTAGAAACTGATGATCAAATCCTCCACCATTATGCGCCAGTACAATGACTTTCTTGAATTTTTTACGAAGTGTCAGAATATGATGCATAAATGGAGAAATGACGTCTTGACATCGAAGAATCTGTAATCGAAGGCCACATTTCTTGCATATAGGATTATCGGTACATGATTCACAACATTGTTTGAATACACATAGATTTGGCTCATGAAGTAAAGATCCGTTGGGTAATTCCTTCTCCTGACGGGTTTCCAAATCGTAAAATATTAATAAGACATCATTTGATTTTGGAATACTTCTGTCAGGCTGTATATAGCACATATGTTCAATTGGTTGATTTTTATAACATGTTTTACAAAGTATATGTCCGCAGATGTGATCATTACCGTTGTGAACTTTAAAACAGTCTACACATCTTTTAATTTTAGAACAGACCGATGGTAAATGAGCGTTAAAACATTCTTGTCCATAAAAGCTTCTATTACATTCTTTGCATTCGATGTGCTTCGTTTTCAGGCAGGCCGGAGATCTTTTACAAGCATAACATTGTTTATCACATCTATGAATTTGTTTATTATTATACGGAATGTGGCAGTTCTCACAAAAATAGCTGCAGCAAAAGGCAGCAGTGAGGGATGTTATGACGCTGTAGTGCCCCTCGTGATAGATTAGGTTAAGCGTCGAACCAGTGGACACGCCTTCAAAAATGACGTCACGACCTTTGCACCCAAACTTGTATACAACAATTTTGTAGTTTTGCAGATATCGTTGTAGCTTTTGAAGTTCAGGTATTCCACACCCCTCCTCAGGGATAACAATATCAGCCTTTTCCACAAGTTGTGCAGCTCTTTGTCCTTGTATTTTTCCTCGATCGAGGCGGATTCTGCTATAATCTTTGTCTTTGTTCAAATGGGCCATGGCGATGACAAGGGCTCGTGGGAGACACAAATTATCGGTGTTTTTAACGGTGATAATACCTCTTCTTTTGGCGCATTCCTCATCAAAAGTATTGAAATTCTGACCTCTACCACGACCAGCAGGCAACCTTATGGACGTAACTCCCAAGCAAAAAGTCTCGGTATTCAACCCCACAGAATTTGACTGATAGATGGAAGATATCTTCTCCCATATGTCCTCATTTGAAACGTCGGATAACGATTTAAAAGCTATCCACCCTTGACCGCGGGTAAAGTCTTTGGAACAGAAAGTGAATCCAACTTGATCACTGGGCTGGAGATGTTCAGTTCCTTTGGCTACTATTTCCTCCAGAGCGTCTTTGATCCATCCCACAGGTTCGACGTCTTTAGGGATAGGTCGTATTTTAAATTCCACTTCTCGCCCATATAGATTAAATTTTTTAATCTTCTTAGTAGAATCCTTAACGATGAAGAATTTTTCCATTTTTTTAAAAACTAAAACGTTAACTAGCGACTAAATCTGAACTGAGCACGTTTGTTCGCTGTAGCTAACTGACAAGATAATTTGCGATGATTCATAGGTATTTATAATCTCAATTATACCCCCACCACTTTTTAACTGACCACAGTGTTCCAAGGTCACCGCTGGCCGGTATTAACTAGTTGACAGCCTGCGCTCCCTGCCCATTCACCCATGCTTGACAGCCCCGCCCGGTACTTCTTGCATATCACAGCTACGACTACACCGGCGCTGAACCTAACCTCATTTGCGACGTAGGTGATTGCCTTGTTGGAATCTATTAGATACACAATATAGACTGTACTATGTTTTCAATATTGTATCAATGTTAAAAATTAACTAACATTAACTGTATGCACCACATATGAGCAATTCCATTTTTATATGCACACTGAATATGACGTGTTGACTATTGAGATCATCCTATACGCATTGTTCTCCGCGAATTTTATACGTTTTTCCAATTAAACTGAATCCGCAGAATTGCATCTATAATTACCAGTATTCATCGGCTTTTATCGATCTATATGCAAATATTTACCGCAAAACATGAAATGAGTCACATCACTTACGCATAGACGTTATACTACACCTTACTATCGTTGGCTGTCTGAATCACTTCCGGTCGGGTGCGGCAGCTAGCCCGCCAATCAACATATACCATCAACCCCGTTCAAATTTCCCGCCGTCTGATCCGCCAATCAGAGCACGCGGTGGATCTAGCGGTTCCCGCCAATCAAAATATACCATCAACCCCGTTCAAATTTCCCGCCGTCTGATCCGCCAATCAGAGCACGCGGTGGGCGTGGCCAAAGTGGAAGTGGTGGGGGGTGTCCATAGTAGCCCATATTCTACTTATTGGTTTGTGGCTTTTAGTATCTCAGTAGAAAGTCTAATTCTATGTGTTGTTTATGGGTTATTTCATCAAGAAATTACTTTTTGTTTTCCTATATTTTTCTATTCAGTCAGATATTTTTGACTTGTTGTATTCTATTTTAGAAGAATGCATAATTTGTTTTGCTGTTCAATCATAATGCGTACATAGGAATATTACTTGTTGCCTAAAAAATATATTTATTTTGTTCTCAATATTCAGTGTTTGTGTATATTTATTTCTTATAATGTATGTTTGGTATCACGTCATTATGAATCGCAAAAAAATATTAATACTACCAGTTGTAATAAAATATAAATTCAATTAATAATTCAAGTCTCTCCGATCTCCGCCTATGACTCCATATAAAATCGTCTAATGGTAAGGTTTTTTCATCGCATTTCCCCCTTTCGTCCCTAGCAATCTTTGGCTGGTCGATCAATAGTTATTGTTCGCGTACGTCGTCGTGTTTATTTACAATGTTCTCGAATCAAGAGTTCGCCGACATGTTAGTTTGCGGTGAAGCTCGTCAGAATTCAAATATTGCAGCTCAAATTTATCGCGACAGGTATCGCCAACGGGTACACCCAGACAGAAGGACATTTGTGCAAGTGTACCAAAGACTTCGGGATACAGGAAGTGTTCAGCCCACTAATATTAGCACTCGTGAAAGACAGGTTGCTGTAGAGCAGGAGGAACGAATTTTAAATATCGTGGAAATCAATGCAGATATCAGCACTCGGGAGTTAGGCCGCCGCGTAGGACTGTCGCATACCATAGTATATAGAATCCTACGGGAAAATTTGCTTTATCCCTGTACAACGAGTGCAGGCCTTGTTACCAGAAGACTATCCTCGCAGACTAACATTCTGTCAGTGGTGTTTGCACAAAAACATTGAAAATCCGGATTTTTTTAAAAACATTCTAGCGACGGACGAATGCACTTTTACGCGAGACGGGATATTAAATTTCCATAATACTCACACGTGGACTCAAGTAAATCCTCATACCATTCGTGAAGGTCATTTCCAACAACGTTTTAAAATAAATATTTGGGCGGGTATTCTTGACGATCAGTTAATTGGCCCTTTCGAGTTACCCCCAAATTTGTCAGGAGAAGGATACCTTAGCTTTCTAGCCAATAACCTACCAAAACTTTTGGCACAGACCTTAGACAACATGCCATTACGACGGAGACAGAATTTGTGGTTTCTTCATGACGGGGCACCACCACACATTTTTAGAGGCGTCATTCAGTATTTGAATGAACATTATCCAAATCGCTGGGTCGGCCAAAATGCTCCTCATCCTCGAAAATGGCCAGTATGATCTCCTGACCTCAATCCGATGGCTTTCTGGTATTGGGGAGAACTTAAAGGGATGGTTTATGGGGTTGGTCCAATAACAACTGAAGCACAACTTCGCGAAAAAAAATTTAATGCGGCTGAAATAATAAATGGACAACTTCGAGGACCTAAGAAGAAACTGGGTTCGTCGTAATGAAGCTTGTGAGGAAAGTGGAGGACGACATTTTGAACACCTTCTTTAAATACAAAAAAGTGCAGTGTGGATTTTAGAAAGAAAAACAATGTATGTATCAAAATTGTGTTCCCTATTTATAAGTGGATTTTTTTAATACGTTCAATAAACTTTCATACACCAGGTGAAGCGCTGAGACAGTTAGTAGTAAGTCCGTTTTTTTAATTGTTTGCATTTTACGAGTACATTATCAAATAATGAAATAATACCTAAGAGCCAAAAATAACAAACTCCATCTTTATTTACACTGCGTTCCGTCGTAATTTGCGTCTGACATTGCGGCGTTGTCAGATTTTATTTTACTTTAAAGTCGCTATTCTCTAAAAAAATGCCTTTTTGACGCCCATGTTATATGAAACTTTTTGCTTCTTTTAACTCCCTCTATCACCCATTTAAATAATTACTATCATAACGTTTACACCCTGTATATATTTTTTGGGCAATTGTACCTTTTTCTGGTGGTTGAGTTGGATAGCTTGAAGCTGTTTATCAAGAACAGTTTGTTATTTTTTTTAATAAATAAAAAAATATTTATATTTTTAAACCAGCAGCTGGCCGAATTGTGTACCAGTGCGGCTAGGCGAAGTAACAAGCGGTGCGTCTTCAGTCTAGCGATATTGGGTGGACGTGGATCGCTTTTATTACTTGTGCTACCACCGCACCGAGGCAACGTAATCAATTAAACAGTTTTTCTGAAAAATTTTCATTACCCGTAATGATTTTTTCAATTATTCTATGTAACTGGATTATTCAGTTCAATTTGAATTTTCTTGAATCAGCACAAATGGAAGTAATATATTAAACTGTTTTGCTTGGACATCGTAAGCCATATACCTGTTTTAGTGAAGTGTTTAATTAGCTCAGGTAACTTCGTTTATGCAGAAAAGGTACATTTGTATCAATTTAACATCTTGATAAAAACAGGTTATTTGAATGACGAACTCGGCAGGACTCGACACTTCATTCGTGAATGATCGGGAGTAAGCTACAGATGCAGTGCCGGCGACATGCTTCGAACCCCTCATTTTCGTTTGTAATTCATATTCGAACGTTGCCGTTGCAGTTGTAGTAGCTGTGAAGTGGA